AATGCTCTAAGATTATATAAATATAACTTAAGGAGACAAGTCCCGAATCATTTAAAACGTTAAGTTGAGTCTGAGTCGATTACATGCCTATTAAGCAACTTACAGGGTATTCAAATATGGAAATGAGATAAAAATAGAATGGAACACTGAATAGAGAAGTTCCTAATCATTCTTATCTTAGTCTATCGATTCTGTGTCACGTGCATGCCCCACCTATTGGCAAATTACAGGGTATCCGCTGCCATCGATTGTCAACACTCATTGCCCAATTTGTCGACGCTTTCTTCCTTCACCTTTTAATTGAAAGCGTTTAGCACACGTCGCGTTCGCGAGAACGGGACATAAATCATGGCGGCTCATAAGTAACGGCACATAAATAAAGGCGCAGCGAAAGACTTTGGATCAGAACGAAATACTTGAGATGCTTACACAACTAAATGATAATGGCTACCTGACTAATAAAATGCTCCGACACACGAAATAGTCAACTAAATATATAGATCAATCTAAGAATGAATCTATCTAAGAATATATGTATATAAACTGTACATATATAAGACATGTATACATCTATTTCCATGTACATAAATAACTCGTTCTCTTTTGCTGCTGCTGTCCGTCTGCATTCCATCGCCAGCTAATAGGGCCAATCTAATGGGTTATGGCCTGTATTTGATGAACGTATTAGGGCCCAAGTAATGCGGCACTCACACAGCGATAATGTATCTACGAAATGCAGCATGCACCATTTCATATCGTGCATATAGAGCTGTTAGGAAGGGTCAAACTACTGTACAAATATTGAAAGTCATCAGCTAAGCAGACGATTCGTCTAACGACCCCGGCCAAATGCGCGCTCAATCTAAACACACACACACAGACACACTCGCACACACACACACGCAGACACAGAGCAAACTAAATAATAACATTTAAAAGGCGCCAAGTGGTTTCATAAACAAATATTTGAATAGAACGAAGAAAATTCGAAATTCTAGCAATTGGAAAAGCGAAAAACCCGAAATAGCTGAAAAGCTGCCACAGACGCAAATGGAAAAGAATTCAAATGTAATCAAAAGCAAAGCGGGAAGCGCTTGCAGCTGTAAAGCGACGTAAGTCAAAGTAAATATACGCTGCCCGGGTGGGTGGTGCGATCTGAATAGTTTCCCTGTGGTGGCTCAGCGGTGCCATTTGGCAACAGTTGCGGCTGCGCAATTCGCATTTCAAACGGGACAACAGCGCTGCTCTTTTCGCAGTATTCTTTTTTCTCTCTCTCATTTTTTGTTTTTTGTTTTTTGGCTAACAAGTCGGGCCTGATTGTGTGTAGTTGCGCCTTTGTTCGCCAAGAAATTCAAAACCGAGAACCCGCTGGCTCTAAGGGTTGTGCGAGCAAATAAAAGAACAATGCTTTAATAATATAACTGCGCATAGCTCAAAGCCAGAGCGGGAGGGGTCGATGGTGCGCTCTCACTTGCTCGCACAGCTGCTGAGATTAAAAAGGTACCAATACCGAATTCCAAATAAAAAGGCAAAGGTTTCTGTATTTTTTATCATTAAAAGAAAAACAACAGCAACAGCAACAACAACAACAACAACAACGAGGAGCGAGAGCCTGGCCAACTCCGACTCCGACTGCGACTTCGCTGCGGAGTGCGGCCAAAAGGGAGGAATATTGCACAAAGGAGATTAAGTTCCTTTCAGCAAACGAGACACACGCAAATGCGTAGAGATGCAGGCACAGTTCCAAGTGAGCATTCCAAGCTGCCTGCTGGCTGGCTGGCTGGCTGGCTGGCTGGCTAGCTAGGCTCTGGCTGCCTTCTTGCCAGCCAGCCCTTCGTCCCGCCGTCCCGCTGTCCTTCCGTCCTGCCTGCCAGCCTGCCTGCCTTGCCTGCTCGCTCTCTGACAATACACAACTGCGCAAGCGTAACCTTTCATACCTGATTATGGGCTCACTATAGAAATCTGTGTCTTTCTTCTCGTTTCGTTTCGTTTCGTTTCATTCGAAATCAGAAAATGCAATTTACGAAAACAAAAAACCCAACAACAACAACAAAATACAGAATGTTGGGAAAAGCGAGTCTCCGGGTACGGGGCACACATTAAATTGCTTTTGTACAAACGTTGGCCCAGCCATAGGCCAAGCCATTGATTGGTATTAACGCTTAACCTGTTCGGGTTTCTCTGCGTATTTCTTTCGCGAGCTACCTGCTGCCTCGGCTGCTGCTAATCCAGAACGACAGAACGAACCATAGCCCAAAGGCGTTTCCTATAACTACTCTCTTTCTCTCTCTCTCTCTGTCTCTTTCGAGTTCCAGTGTAGAAAGTTGCTCAGTTCGGGCCGTGTCAATGTTGTGACAGATGTAGCTACAGTCTTTGCCATCGCTATAATGTCAAGGACAGTCGCAAGGCAGGCAACAAGCAACAACAGGCAACAACATCATGTTGCTCATATGGAAAACAGCAACAGCTACAGTCCAACTCAAATTCAAAATATCATCAACATCAGCGGCAGCATCATCATCAGTTTACCCGCACTTCATTAATCATCATGCCAAAACAGACAGCCCCCAACACAGTGAGGCAACAACTTAGAAGCAGACGCAGGCTGCTGCTGCTGCTGCTGCACGCATGGCTGCAATCTGCAATAACAGCAACAACAACAACTGCTCGAGGATCAGACAATGGAGTTGCGTTGTCAACGCCAAAATATCAACTCGTCGCATGTAGAAACTATTAGCCAAAACGCCAAAAAAAAAAAATAAATAAAACAACAACAACAAAACTGCCAGGCGAGCGACGACTGATTTTCATTAAAAATTACTTAAAATGAAATCATAAAAATTATTTGGGCAATCAGCATGGGGTTTGTCTTTGTCTTACAAAAACAAAAGCGGGCGCAGAGGCAAATTGGAGACAACGGCTGTGCAGCAGCACATTAAGCAAATCAACAACAATAACAAAACACAGGCAGGCAGACAGAGAGAGGGCGAGACAAAGAGTAGGAGAGACATGTGCGATGCGTTGCTTTGGGAGCAACAACATCTTCAGCTTTTGTTGCTTATTTATAAAGTACACACAACTGCATATATTTATATACATACACACATATATGTATGGATCTGCATATATGACTGTGCGATTATCCACAATTCAATCTTTGTGTATAAATAAATTC